AGTGAGCCTCTAAACCAGCCTCCAAATGTTTCCCCCCCCCGGCTGTTTAAGTTGTTATCTCCTGTAGAAAGTGAAGGCTACTGTCCTGGGGCCATTTCCAACCCTCCCTTATGCCAGGAGGCATTTGACTAAGTGCAGTGCTTCCAAGTAGAGAATGCTTTAGCCGACCTCAGGCTTTGTGAAGGGATTACCCAGAGCTAAGGCAGGACTTGTCTGCAGATCCTTTGGGGCAAAAGCTCTGGAAAGGTGTTTCCAGGGTGGGGTGGGAGTTGGGGGAGGCGGGACCAAGCAATCCTTCTGGTACTAGAGGATTAGAAGCAGCCCAGGATGGACTCCAGGGGTGGAGTTGGGAGAGAGTTTTTGTGTTTTGTTTTGTTTTGCTTTTGAGGCAGAGTCTTACTATATAAATAGGCCCAGGCTGGCCTAGAACTCACTATGTAGACCAGGCTGACTTTAACGGCATATGCCATCATGCCCAGCCCAATAGATTCTTAACTACAAGGGGAAGGAGTCTGTGGATGGATTTGTATATCCTTGAACTTGAATAGGGGAAAAAATAATATAGTTTCATTGTTGCTGACCCCACAGTAACATGATTCCTTCCATTTTGAGGAGAGGTAACAGAGCACAGGGACAACCAGTAGTGGTGACTTAGTCATCAGTAGAAATATACAAGTGGGCCAGTGAGATGGCTCAGTGGGAAGAAGCCCTTGCTGCCAAGCCAAACAAATGAGTTTGAGTCCCAAGTCCCAAGTGCTGGAAGGAGATAACGGACTCCCGCAAGTTGTCCTCTGACTTCCACATGCACACCACAAAAACTACCCTTCCCCAACAAATAAATGGTGTTCTTGAAAAGGATTTAAAAAATTTTTTTTATTATTTTTATTTTATGTGTATGACTGTATTGCCTACATGTATATGAGTGCACCCGTGTCGTGCAATGCTGCGGAGGTCAGAAGAGGGCTTCAGATTCCCCTGGAACTGGAGTTAAGGACAGTTTGTAGCCGCCATGTGGGTGCTGGGAATCAAACCTGGGTCCTCTGCAAGAGCAGTCAGTGCTCTCAACTGCTGAGCCATCTCTCCTGGCGCCCCCCCCACCTTTTTAATTCTTGAAAAGGATTTTAAAGAAAGAAAATTACAAGGGTGTGCTCACACATCACAAGTGTGACTGGCACCCAGACAATTGCTTTGCAAGATCCAGAAGCACTATTGGATTTTGATATTTAATACACTCAAGCATATTTAGGTGTCTACACCTCAAATACAGGTTTCTGGGACTTTTCTCTTTTTTTTGGATGGGGTCTGTGGTTTTGTTTTTGTTTGTTTGCGTTTGGCTTTTTGGAGCTCAGATCTCAGGTAGCCTAGGATGGCTTTGAACTTGCTATGTAGTTGAAGTTATACAACCTCTACCACCCAAGTGCTGGGATCACAGGCATATGCCACCATATCTAGTTTATGTGATGCTGGGGATGAACTCACAGCTTCATACATGCTAGGCAAGCATTCTACTAACCGAGCCAAATCCCCAGCCCAGTTTCTGATTTATCCATAGATATAGGTACATATATATTGTCTTCAAATGCTGACAATCAACTTATACAGGCACTCTCCACTGAGCTACACCCTTAGCCCTTGTTTTTTCTGTATTCTGCTTTCTCTTTCTTTCTTTCTTTCTTTCTTTCTTTCTATCTTTCCCTCCCTCCCCCCTTCTCTCTCCCTCCCTCCCTCCCTCCCTCCTTTCTCTCTCTCTCTCTCTCTCTCTCTCTCTCTCTCTGTAAAGACAGGGTCTCACTATACATGCCTGGCTGGGACTTGCTATGTAGATCAGGCTGGCCTGGAACTCAAAGATCCACCTGCCTCTGCCTCTTTACTTGGGGCTCGGTTTGGTTTTGTATGTGTTTGTTTTTGTTTGTTTGGGCCAGGGTCTTCCTCTGTAGCCTAGGTCTAGAACTTCCTATGTAGCTTCAAACTCACGAAATTCTCCTGCTTCAGTAGTCTCCCAAGTGCTGGGACTATAGGTATAAGCCATCATGCCTGACTTTGTATCTTGGTATTTCTCTTGCTTAATATCATATTCTAGAGCCGGGAGTGGTGGCGCACACCTTTAGTCCCAGCACTCAGGAGGCAGAGGCAGATGGATCTCTGTGAGTTTGAAGTCAGCCTGGTCTACATAGCCAGGTCCTGGTCAGCTAGGGCTACCGGGAGACCCTGTCTCAAAAAAAAAAAAAAAACAAAAAAAAAAACAAAATATCATATTCTAATGTCTTTTAAAACACTACTTGTTCTTGCAGAAGACCTAGGTTTGAATCCCAGCACCCACATGGAGGCTAACAACTGTCCTAACTCTAGTTCCAGGGGATCTGACAGTTTCTTCTGTCCTCCTTAGGCATTGCAGGACGGGTGCACTTATCTACGTGCCGGCAATACACGAATACACATAAAATTTTTTTAAAATGTCTTTTCAGGAGATTATTTTAGCTGAATGTGGTGGGGTATTCATTCAATCCCAGTATTTGGAAGGTAAAGGCAGGAGGATCTCAAGTTTAAGGCAGGCCTAGGTTACAGAGTGAGATCCTATCTCATTAAGACCAACCAAGCATGTAAATAAAGGGTTGTTCTAAGGTGTCCAGAGGTCTCCAGTTCTGCTCAAGGAGCCCTTGTCTGGAAGAGGGAAGGAGGTACCTACAGCCCAAGGCTCCAGCCGGGATTCTGAGGCTCAGTTAATTGAAAAGCCTAGGAAAAAATCTAAATCTGAATACAGGATAGTAACAACACCCTACTATTAAAAGCTCTCAGAAAGCACATTGACCATCGCACCCCGAAATGTCAGAGAAATAGACTGTAGAAACCACCCATGGCTTTTGAAAGTACAGAACATCAGTGCTTGCTTTCTCTCTCCCCCCCCCACCTCCCTCCTTCCCTCCCTCTTTTCCTTTTTCTTTTCTTTTTTCTTTTTATTATTTTTTTAAATTTTATTTATCTTTTTTTTTTTTTTTTTTGTCTTTTTGAGACCGGGTCTCCCTGTAGCCCCAGCTGTCCTGGAACTCACTATGTAGACCAGGCTGGCCTTGAACTCGCAGAGATCTGCCTGCCTCTGCCTCCCAGAGTGCTGGGACTACAGGCATGCGCCACCACACCTGGCCTATCATTTTTATTTTATGTGTATGCATGTATTGCCTGCATGTAGGTAAGTACACCCATGTCATTCAATGCCCGTGGAGGTCAGAAGAGGCTGTTGGATCCCTGGGACTGGAGTTACAGACAGTTGTTAGCTGCCATGTGGGTGCTGGGATTCGAACCTGGGTCTTCTGCAAGAACAACCAGTGTTCTTAACCGCTGAGCCATCTCTCCAGCACCTTCTTTTTTATTTTTAAAAGACAGGGATTCACTATATAGCACTGGCTGGCCTGGAACTCACTATATAGACCAGGTTGGCCTCACACTCACAGAGCTCATCCTTGGAGTGCTTGGATTAAAGGCCTGCATGCACCGCCACGCCTGGCCCACTTTCGTCGCCATGCCTGGCCCACTTGTACTTTCTTTATCAGTCTTTTCATTGAAACCCAGTCTTTCAGATAGTTCTGACATCCCCCATGACCAGAGTAACAGGTCAGAATCTGAGCCTTGTGCCATTGCTTCCTTTTTTTCTCTGGCTTCCTTCTCCTGAGAGGGCAGACAAGCCTTGGACTAGGGCAACCGTACAATGGGCCCTCTGTGTCTGCTGAGTCTGCCACAGTAGGTACAAGCAACGCCACATGAACACAATTGGGAGAAACAACTGCATGCAGAGGCGACATGCAGACTTTATTATTATTATTATTATTATTATTATTATTATTCCCTGAACAATACAGTATAACTTCTGTTTCCATTGTACTTACCTAGTAGATGATCTAAGTCAGCTACCAGTGACGTAGAGTGCATAGGTGGCAGCTGCGTATATAGCTCAGAGGTGGACTGTGGGCTTAGCATGTGTGAGGCCCTGGGTTTGATCCTCGCACTAAAATACTACTACTACTACTGCTGCTGCTAATAATAAAATAATAATAATAATAATAATAATAATAATAATAATAATAATATCATCCCTGGGAAGAGGTGCATAGCTTAGGTGCAAACACAATTTCATTTCAAATGAAGAACTTAAGATTTTGGTTTCTGCAAGGACCAATCTGCCTTAGATACCCAGGAACAATTGCAGAATGTTTTCACTTTCAGCAAATTAAATGCTTTGGTAAAGAGAGTTGGTAATTAAAATATGTGCAAAGGAATTGAAGTGTTCATGAGGTACATATCACAGCCCCTCCAAGCCCTCCTCATTTTGCCCAGAAGGCAACAGAGGCTGGAATCTTTGCCTGATCCCTGTTAATTCCTAGGGAAACTGCTGGGTCTCCCCCTGCATCCTCTCTGGCAGCTGACAGTTTCTAATCTGCCCCCTCTCAGTCCTCCTAGACCTCTGTGGGGCCCAGAGTAGAGCGTCTGGAACTCAGAGTCCCCATGCAGGTGTCAAACATCCCTTCTGAGTGCCCTGGCTCCAGGGTCCCCATCCTGAAGGGCTCCGAAGAGTGGGCCTTTCAACGGCCTCTAAGAGGTGGTAACAAGTCTCAGGGCCGGGTGGTGCTGCCCAGGCTCTGACTTCTACGGGCCAGCAGAGTGCTAGGGGACCCAAAGCAGGATTCCAGGGACATCTGGATATTGTCAGCCACTCAACTGTCTGGCCAGTGGGCCAGGACAGCCAGTTGCAGGGGCAGGAGCTTGTTAGAAGGCAGAGTGAGGAATCCTACACAGATTATGGGGCCCAGACTTAGCTCCTGGGGGAAGGGAAGGTGGCCCAGGAGCTGGCTGCAAGTTTTGCACCAGCCCAGCTTTGAATGCTGATAGTGGCTGACAGAGAAGATGGAGAGGGCTGGGCTTTGTGTGTTCAGAGGCTCAGCATTAAGGACCCTCAAGGAGGGAGTGGGGGGGCAGCAGGGGGGGGGCAAGAGTCAGGCAGAGCTCACCCTCGGGTCCACTTGAAGATTCTTTGCTTCAAAACTCCCTGTGATGGCTTCCAGACAAGTCGGCACCAAGGGTCATTTCTGGAGGCTGTAAGTGTTATGGAGAGCAGCTGTAAGGACAGGTGTAAATCTGCCCTCACATTCCTCCTGAGCCCCTCCCAGCTTTGCGTACCTGAAGCAGGTCCTTGCTTACCATGGGGAACCTGGTGGGGGAGGCCTGGACACACACACAAACACACACAGACACACACAGACGGGCGGTGGGGGGGCGGCTAGCCTGCCTCTGGGGACAGTTTTTTCATGTTCTTTTAAAACAAAGTATCAGCTGTTTATTAAAGCAAAGCAAACATAAGCCAGAGAGAGAGAGAGAGAGAGAGAGGGAGAAAAGAGAAGAGAAGAGAAGAGGAGAGGAGAGGAGAGGAGAGGAGAGGAGAGAAGAGAAGAGAAGAGAAGGATCCTTTTATGTGCTACCATTAAAACATCTTGTTTAAAATACCTTTCTGGGGGAGGGGAGCTGGTGAGATGGTTCAGTGGGTAAAGGCACTTGCTGCCAAGTCTGAGGACCTAAGTTCATTCCCCGGAACCCACATAAAGGTGGAAGGAGACAACTCCAGAGTTGTCCTCTGACCACCACAAGCACACTGTGGCACTTGCACCCCCGCAACACACACATCATACACACACACACAAAAAAAAAACAAACAAACAAACAATGCTTTATAAAATTTAAAGCATAAAATACCTTTCTTGGGGTGATAAGGCAGGAGGTGAAAAGAGGGAAAGTGATCTGGGGCTTATTTGAACTGGCAGGAGAGATGAATTGGAAGGGTTCTCTCTAGGATCCAGTGCTCCTATTCTTTCCTAGTTCCCCCACCTCCCATTGAAACTGCTTATGATGGATGAGGGAGACTTTCTATCATCTCACTCCATCAGTCTCTAGAAGCATCTGGGAAAATGAGCAGCCCCTCTCCATCTGGCAAAATGCATTCTGAGAGAACTTAGGGAAGGGCCTCTTCTGGGCCATCCAAGTGTCCCCAGCAGGCCTCCTTGTGTTGAGAGAAGAGAGATGTTCCAATATGAGGTCAAAAGCAAAGGAAGGAAGGGAGGGAGGGAGGGAG